CAACAAATGAAATTGTTACTATCAATAAAAGCATGCTGTAATGTTTGACTAATGGGTAGATGGACTAAAATCAGAATTCCATAAGAGGAAGGTACATTTTGGCGGGAAATTTTTTTTGACGGCACTTCTGTTTTTATATATATATATAGATATGTTCTGTTCTGGACTTAAAAGCCAGGAAATACATGCACATTTCTGTCTTATTTCCAAGAAGGATATCGAGACAAATATTTGAATTATGAGGTTAGATTTTGTATATTGTTTTTTTCTTGTAGAGAACTGTCAATTAGCAAAAAGAGAAAAAATTGTTCTGTGTGACCATCTTGACTTGCTGTCTTGCAATATGCATTGAAAAATACTACTTGTACAGTCATTAGAGGACTGTAATTTTTACGGTCCTCTCTAATTAGTGTAATTAATTAGTGGATGTCACACTAATTAGAGCCCTCTAATGACTGTACAAGTAGCAGAATTCGTATGCATTTGGTCGGGTAGCAAGATGAGATTCCTTAGTTCGGTCTCGTGAGGTTGCTGACTTCATAGTAGTTTCCTGCAGTGATAATCTTCCAGCTCGTGTCTGAACAATCTTTTTTTCTCAAGTTTGTTTTTGTCTTCTGCAATGGGGAATGTGAAAAACAAGTCTCAACCTTCAAAAAAGAGGACTGCTGGTGTACAATTATCTCGAGATAACCTTGGTCTTAACGATGACGATGAGATATCTGAACAAGAGACATCAACCTTCAGAAAAGAAAGTGATGAGATTCTTAGAGCTAGAAGAATAGTGAAAGCTCGTCACCATCAACCCCATCAGCGCCAATTCCTGTTCTTGCTGCTAACCATGGTTCCTCCTCCTGGTACTTCAACTTCAGAAAAGGTGGAAGGGAATAGTGTTCTGAGCAAGGAAACTAATCAAATTGATGATAAGCAATCTGTAAGCAAGGTTGAGCCAAATGCTAAATCAACTTTAGATGAAGAAAAAAACTGATGACAGTACAAGTACCTGCTAAGCGATTTGAAACCAAGGTTGACGAGTTAAAATCTGAATCAAATGCTGAGAAGGATGAAACAGATGATGTCAGGAAGAAAAACATAATCAAGACAGTAATTTAGGAGGCAGCAGAAGGCAAGAAATCTGAGGAGGAAAAGAAGAGAGCTACAGAAGCCGGTGATAGTGCGAGTGAAGCCAGGAAAGAATCTGAAGGCCAGAAAAGCGAGGAAAAAGATGATGGGAAGCAGATATCGAAAAGAACGCAGAAACTGCATCTTTTAGTTCGTTTCAACGATGTTTTAACTGTCTTTAGGACATTTGAAACGATGGATTAGATAAGATTAAAGAAGAGACACATGTAATAAAATGTGTCAATTGTCATGCATTGAATACATAGTATCTACACAGATTCAAGTGCATTAATCTTCTAATCTTTAGATGCTGACAATGTTGAAAGTTGTGTTCATGATTGAAAGATTGATAAATGTAAGTTCTTGAGCCAAGTTGTCGCCTCACCAATTTCAATTACTTGGACAAAACCATCATCAATTGGAGATGGATTGCCAAAATACTAGATCAATCACATATCTTGTCAAGTATTTGGTAAATAAAAATGACAAAAATAAAATCTATAAAACGTAAACATCTATATACTCTACAATAATTTTTGAGTTGTCATCTCTAAAATTTTTATACCTTAAAAATTGATCGACATGTCAGGATTTATTGAAAGAGCTAAAGAGACGAAAAAAGATATGAAGTTTGTTGAAGTGTTATAAGTTAAGAGAAAAAGTACATTGTTCTAAATAAGGATTTTGCTACTTGAACATCAAAATTGTACATAAGGATTACATAATATGATGGGGAAGAAAAACATTGGATAGAAAAATTGACTTTATTTTAAGTTGACAAATGATAGAGTGACATCCCGTAATGTACATGTAGCAAGATCCTCTAAATAAAGAAGTTGACTTATATACTAGCCTGCGTCTGGCTCATGATTGTAGATGCTCAACTCACTTCTTATTATGCAATTTGAGGTATCTATGAGTATTATCAATTCATTCATTGCTTATTTCTATCCATTTATACACTTTCAAGATACACA